GGGGGGGCCCTACAAGCCCAAGGTGCCCCCGATGGAGGAGGCCAAGACCACCCCCAGCACCACGCAGCAGATGATGATCATGATTTTCTTCTGCCAAAATTCCCCCCAAATTTGGGACGTTCCGGCAGCGGGAAAAGGGGGGAAAAAGGGATAAAAGGGGACAGAGAGAGAGAGAGAGAGAGAGAGAGAGAGAAGAAGGGAGAGTTACCACCCCCAAACCCCCCTAAACCCCCCCAAAAACCCCCCAAAAACCCCCCAAAAACCCCCAACTCACCCTCCGGGCTTTGCTCTGGTACTTGACGGCTTTTTTGGTGTCGGACACGGCGCGTTCCACGTAATCCACCGAGTGCTCCACGTTGTACTCGATGCGGTCGATCATCTCGCCCTGGGGGGGGGATTTGGGGGATTTTTAGGGATTTTTAGGTTTTTTGGGGTTTTTTGGGGGGTTTGGGGGAGTTTTGGGGGGTTTTTGGGGGGAAGCTTCGGTGGGTTCTTGGTGGGTTCGAAGGGATCTTGGGGAGGTCCCAGGTGGCCCTTGGTGGGCTTTAATTGACCTTTGATGGGTTTTAACTGACCCTCAATGGGTTTTAATTGACCCTCAAGTGGGTTTTAATTGATCCTAAATGGGTTTTAATTGACCTTTGGTGGGTTTTTATTGACCTTTGAGGGATCCCAGATGACCCTTAATGGGTTTTAATTGACACTCGATGGGTTTTAATTGACCCTTAATGGGTTTTAATTAATCTTTGGTGGGTTTTAATTGACCTCAAATGGGTTTTAATTGACCCTCAAATGGGTTTTGATTGACCTTTGATGGGTTTTGATTGACCTTCGATGGGTTTTAATTGACCTTCAATTGGTTTTAATCGACCTTTGATGGGTCTTAATTGACCTTTGATGAGTTTTAATTGACCTTTTTTGGGTCCCGGGTGACTTTTGGGGGGTTCTTGGTGACCTTCAACGGCCCCCAAACGACCCAGCCCCGGCCCCAAATCAGACCCCCCATACCCTGCCCCGCCCCCTTGGTGCTGTCCCCGCCCCCCGGGCGCTGTCCCCGCCCCCCGGGTGCTGACCCCGCCCCCCTGGCGCTGTCCCCGCCCACCTGGCTCTCGACCAGCATGGCCATGTCGACGAACATGTCGTGGAGCTCCCTGATGCTCGTCTCCAGCTTGATGATCTCGTTGTGCCGCGTCTCGATCTCGTTCAGCGCCTGTTTCGTCATCTGAGAGTCCATCTTGATCTGGGGGGGGGGATTTTGGGGGTCTCAGGGGGCTTCAGGTGGTCTCCGGGTACCCCCGAGGCCGGGGGGCGACCTTGTGGTTTCGAGGATTTGGGGCGTCTTTGGATGGGGGGTGTCGAGGGCACCCGACGGGTTCTTGGTGGCCCCGTTGGGTTCTTGGTGGCCCCATTGGGTTCTCGGAGCCCCCACAGGGTCTTGGTGGCCCCAACAGCTTCTTGGTGGCTCCAACAGGGTCTTGGTGGCCCCTTTGAGGTCTTGGTGGCCCCGTTGGGGTCTTGGAGCCCCCAACAGGTTCTTGCATCCCCCAACAGGGTCTTGGTGGCCCCGTTGGGTTCTTGGTGGCCCCATTGGGTTCTGGGTGACCCCATTGAGTTCCAGGTGACCCCACTGAGTTCTGGGTGAACCCAATGATTTCTGGGTGACCCCATTGGGTTCCAGGTGACCCCATTGGGTCCTGGGTGACCCCATTGGGTTCTGGATGACCCCAATGAGCTCTGGATGACCCTGTTGGGTTCTAGATGACCCCACCCTGTCCCTGGTCCCCCCTCCCTGGCCCCGGCCCCCCCCATACATCATCGGTGAAGATGGCCAACTTCCCGCTCTCCAGCATGTCCTCCAGCTCCTCGTTGGTGGTGGTCCTTCCGGCTGGGGGAGGGGACACACCAAGGGGGCGGTGACTCCTCGGCCCCGCCCCCCCGGATGGCCCCGCCCCCCCGGGGTGTCCCCGCCCCCCGTACTGATCTCCAGCTGGCGCTGGATCCGGTCCTTGCAGCGGTCGCGGTACTTGGACTGCGTCGCGTTGTACTCGGTCATCACCTCCACGAACTTCCGAGACAGCGTCGAGTGCTGACGAGGAGGAGGAGGGTCAGCGGGAGGAAGGGGAGGGGGAGGAAGGTGAGGGTGAGGGGGAGGAAGATGAGGGGGATGAGGATGACGGTGAGTGTGAGGGGGATGAAGATGAAGTGACAGGGATGAAGATGAGGGTGAGGGGGATGAAGGTGATGGGGATGAGGGTGAGGGGGATGAAGATGAAGATGAAGGTGACAGTGATGAAGGTGATGGGGATGAAGATGAGGGTGAAGGGAATGAAGATGAGGGTGATGAGGATGACGGTGAGGGGGATGAAGATGAAGGTGACGGGGACGAAGATGAGGGTGAGGGGGATGAAGGTGATGGAGATGAGGGTGAGGGGGATGAAGGTGAGCACGAGGGGGATGAAGGCAACGAAGACACCGACGGGAGCGATGAAGAGAAAAGAGAAACACGAAGACGACAAACGTGGTGAGGAAGGTGACGGTGAGGGAGGTGATGAAGGTGATGAGGATGAAGGCAATGAGGATGAACCTGATGAAGATGACGAGGATGAAGATGATGCCGATGAGGATGAAGATGCAGATGTTGAAGGCAATGAAGTCAATGAAGACGGCGCCGATGAGGATGAAGATGAAGGCGATGAAGATGATGAGGGTGATGCCAATGAGGATGAAGCTGAAGGTGCTGAGGATGCTGACGATGATGAAGATGAAGGTGATGAAAATGATGAGGATGAAGATGAAGGCAATGGAGGCTCTGAGGATGCTGAGGCTGATGAGGATGAAGCTGATGAAGAAGAGGCCAATGAAGATGAGCCGATGAAGATGAGGATGCTGAAGATGATGCCGATGAGGATGAAGATGAGGGTGAAGCTGATGAGGATGAAGATGAAGGCGCTGAGGATGCTGAGGAAGATGAAGATGAGGCCGATGAGGATGAAGACAATGAGGATGAGGAGGATGAAGATGAAGGCACTGAGGCTGATGAGGATGCTGAGGCTGATGAAGATGAGGCCGATGAGGATGAAGATGAAGGCAATGAAGGCTCTGAGGATGCTGAGGCAGACGAAGACGAGACCAATGAAGAAGAGGCCGATGAAGAAGAGGCCGATGAAGAAGAGGCCGATGAAGATGAGGCCGATGATGCTGAGGCTGATGAAGATGATGAAGATGAGGCCTCGGGCGGTACCTGCGTCTTGCGGATGCGCAGATCGGCCGAGGAGCGGTTGAGCCCCTCCTCCTGCTCGATGCTCTGCTCGATCGCTGGGGGGGAGGGGTCACCTGAGGGGGTGTGGCCACCCCTGGCCCCGCCC